AAGGGTGACTCACTGGTACTAGATTTGTCTGGGAAGGTAGAAAATTGGCATACACACCTGTACAGGATTGAGAGAGCAAATGCCCCATTCAGATGTCCTGCGCGCGGCAGTGTGACAGACTAGTCCTGGACCCTAGAATACAAGGGTTTCGTGAAGATGGCCGCTTTATTCTTCCGTTCGCTAAGCGTATTTCCTTTCAGATGTGTGGTGGCTGAAGGACGACGGAGGCCTAACATTACTTTTACCGTATCTCCTTCAGTTACCTGGCACGTATTTGGAGGTTAGTGCTCTAGTTTCACCTTCATAACTGCTCTGATTATACTTCTAACAGAATAACACTTTACTCATCGAACAGTGAGGATATACTACAAAGTGGAGAAAAATTAGAAGTCTTTCTCATTCCTAACATTTGATTGCCATTGTAAGTTTCCCCCGCCGCCTCATTAGTCTGATTTGCGCTCATTATTCGAATTTGCCAGCTGGTTTGAGGACGCCCACAAAGTGTGATGAGCATCAGTGATCACTGTGGAAGAACTACTTTACTAGTTTGTCTTCATTACACTGCTGGATGGTTTTTCTTCTGTGCCATGGACTCCTGGGAGCTTTAACGAGAGCTTTTCCCAGGGTGCTCGGATGCGTGTATTCCTCGAAGGCGGACGAACTGATCGTGTAGCGATGGAGCAGAAACACATGGCGACCTTGTTACGAGCATTCCGCGTCGACTGCTCTGACCTCACCGTTATTAACGGGTTCGATCTCCCACCGGACAAAGCAACGTATGAATTATTTATAGTTTGAAATACTCCCTGTTTAACACATGAGGTTTTTCTAGAGTAGAAGAGTTCCGAGAGCTGGTGGCGCCGTTCAAGGATGGTGGAGCGGAGAAGCGTGAAGCTCTTTCAATGATCGTATAGTTCGATCTATCCTCTCTATCCTCGTAATCCTTATCGCGAATGTAGCTTACTATTTCTGAGCCCTGCGCGCCGGCGCTTTTTCTTCGGGTCCGCAGAACCACAATGAAACTCAGCTCATGTAGACTGCTTCCAGGAAGAAATGCAAAATCTTCATCAAAAAACCAGTCGTTACCTACGAACGAAGGAACTGCTTCATCAGCATAGTAGCAATGCAGATCTTGTCATAGTGTACGTGATTTCATTGCATATTTTACAGCATTTTCTTAGCATAGTAGTCTTACCTTTCTCCACGAGGCATGGTTATCGTGATAAGTTATAGTGAGCAGTAAACGGTTTCAAAAGATGGAACTTCACTCGGGTGGCCAAGGAACGCTTCGGTCAGCTTTCCAAATACTCTGTCACGATGATCTGCGGAATGTATGCTTCGCCTGCTGACGAGCAGGTGGGTGCAGGCAAGCAGCCGTTTCAAGCGGTAATGAGAAAAGCCATTTGATCGGGGGTAGAATTACCGTCATTTAAAAGTGTGTGGCAGTAGGGGTAGACATGTATGAGAGCTCAATCTTTCTTGCGTTACCGTGCGCTAATTTATACGCGATATGCGCGTCATATGCCATACGACAAGCCCTACGTAGAGGTGCTGGTGAGTAACGCATATGGCTACGATACGGCGTATGGCTGACCGTATGGCGTATGGCGTGACGGTAGGGGCATATTGCGCACAGCGGATAGAAGTCGGAAAAATCATGGTATCACGGGCTTCTGGTTTCTTGCCATGCTTGATGAGGGAAGTGCCACACTTCTACGCCTACAGGCCTGCTTCCTAGCATACTGAGAAGACTCACCATTGAGAAAACCGCGCAGTGGTCTTCATAATATTTGGCGATGAGAAAAAAATTGGACCTTTGCAAGACAGGCTAATAGGAGAGACGTCAAGAAATTGGAGATAGCAAAACACCCGCTCACTATGTCTACTCTGTGTGGTTTTTTAGGATAAAAAAGGGTAAAAAAAATCTCCCGGATAAGATGGACAACATCTGCCATAATCCGTAGGGTACAAGGGCTCGGTTTCTCGATCAAAGATTCATGCGGGGCTAGAATCAGCGCCCATGTATGTGGTGCTACTTTTTATCCCCCTCTTCACCCTAAAATGTCCAGTTACATAGGACTCTTGGGCCCTAACTCAGTCATGCTCCCTTTTCTCGCTCTTGTACTGAAAGCTGTTAATCTCAGGACCCTACCGATTCCTCGCCGATCTGTCACGTCAGCTTCTCTGTACATGTCATGGTTGGAAATGATGAGCCGAAATCTTCCGCCAACGCTTTTTGTCCGTCGTATAACTTCTGTTTTTGAGTTTCATTTCAAATAACATTTATATATTTATGATAGTGGAATTCCCTAGACATTACATGCATTTTGAATTTGATAATTACACCTCTTTCCACTCTGATGCCGGTTGTACTTCACTTCTTATTACAACAGAGTATAATGTCTATAACCAAATGAATCACTGGTCCAGAATTCTCATGTTGTTAACTACTATTATTTGTGATGCAGCAAACAACTGCACTGTGAAATCAATCTATTGAGTTTGATCACTGCTCAGTTCCGAGGCCCTACAATGACCGAAGGACATGAGTTTGAACAGTGTGGGACCACAAGACTGCGTAACACCGTTGCTGCTATCAGTCGTTCCCCACCAATTACTGTCGCTTATGCTCTTCAACACCTGATGGAGAACGAGCTGGCCAAACCCAGCTTCAATGATACGCCCCGTCATCCGCAGCGAACAAGGCTTCAGGCTGTTCAGAGGCGATCTGTCTCTGTGCACTCCCCTGGTCGGTGAATCCATGCCATGTACGAGGGGAACGACTCCGCAGCCGGAAGTGTATCTCTTTGGTCACACGAAAGTGCGCGAAATGAGGCTGGAGCGTAATGGAACGTGGATGCCCTCTGGGTCTACCCGACGTACGCAACGTGCAGTACATGCGTCGATGACTATGTCACCCAATGAACTACATGAGGAGCTAGCAATCTATCGCGGCGAAGTAAAGGGAGCAACACCCCTTTATTCAAATGAGAGAACCGCAGACAAGAAGTGCGACTGACTAGGCTGGGCATATAGCTGGTAGTGCAGCGTGTTACGTGCATGGCCTGCGGGTGGAGGAGACTCAAGCGGCATCCGAACTCCACTTCGCCCCACCCTCATTTCCGTGCGATTTCGAGTGGAGACGAGGCACTCTAGACGGGACTCTCCCACCTCGCACATGGCAAGGGCCCAGAATACTTGCAGGTGAGTGCACACTATGCCTTTAGGTGCAACTCAAATACGCCGATTACCATCTACAGGATTTAGGGCTAAGAAGCAGTAGATCATGTGGTGAGCGAGGTCCTAGTAAAGAAAAGAGCAAGACAAACCGTCAAAACTTCTAGCAGGCGACCCTTGTTAACTAGGACCCTTATATGAGCATATAGCCCAAAATGACGGAGTGTAAAGCAGATCGTGGTGTGGCCAGAGGTTATACATACAAATGATCAAGGTCGCAGCCTAACAAC